GCTCCTCTGATGCTGCTTGGTCTGCTGTGTTCATCCAGCTCTACACCTTGTTATCTCAGATTCTCCAGCATCTGCAGTTCCTACTATCTCTCCCCGTGTCTGCGTGGGTTTACTCCCACAGTCCAAAGATGTGCAGGCTAGGTGGATTGGCCACACTAAATTGCCCATAGTGTTCAGGGATGTGTAGATTGGGTGGATTATAGGGGGATGGGAGTGGCTGGGATGCTTTGAGAATCGGTGTGGACTTGTTGGGCCAAAGGGCCTGTTTCCACATTGTAGGGATTCTATGAATCTATGAAATATTCAAATTCAAATTCCCTGCTGGTAAACAATGGCCCGTTACCAGTGACCAACACTTCCAGGAGTCCATGTACTTCAAAAGATGTGTGCAGTTTTTCTATCATTGTCCCTTTGGGAGACAGCTCAACGCATTCACATTGCTGCTTGGCCTTCTGGACCGAAATTATACACACTTAGTATTAGAGCCCACTGCTGAATTCGGCCTGAAGCTATGGGTAGCACTGCTTTGTACTCTTTAAGTAGACCTAGGAGGGGTTTGCCGTGCGTTATTATTATAAATTTACACCTGTAAAGGTACTGGTGGAATTTCCTGACTCCAAACATGACCAGCAAACCTTCCGTCTCTATCTGGAGAAATATACACTTTGCATTAGCCAAAGTCCTGGATGCACACTGTATTGGACATTCCTCTCCATTGGGCCACTGATGTGCTAATACTACCCCAATGACTTACAGGGGGAGGAACCGTATGTCAATACCAGATCTCGCTTGGGATCATAATGTGCCAACAATTGAAACAATGATAGCTGTTTCTTCATGTCCCTGAGAGCTATGGCTTGGCTCTGCGACTATTTACACAAGGCTGGCCCTTTTTTAAAAAAAGTTGATTCAAAGGTACCAGGATGTAGGCCAGGTTATGTGTGAGTTTTCATAATAATTCACCAGCCCAAGGAAAGACCAAAGCTCTGGGACTATCACGGGAACCGAGGGCACCTTTCATCATCCTCACTTTATCTTCTAATGGGTATGACCCAGTCTTGTTGACTCTACAGCCCATATAAGTCACTTGGGGTGCTTGGAACGCATATTTTTCCCTTCTAAGTCATCTATCCACCTGGGAAAAGCATCTTAGGACTACTTCCAAGTTCTCTAAGTGCTCCTTACTGGTCTTCCCAGCAATTAGCATGTCATCTAGATAAATGATAAATTGGGGCAGATCTTGTAAAATTTTCTCCGTCCTCTGCTGAAAAATTGCACAGACTGACGATACTCCAAATGGTAATCTTGTGCATTGGTACAGGCTGTTATTCATAGTTCATAGAAATTCACAGAATCCCTACAGTATGGAAACAGGCCCTTCAGCCCAACAAGTCCACACTGACCCTCACAGCAACCCACCCAGACCCATTCTCCCCATAAACTCACCTAATCTACACATCCCTGAACACTACAGGCAATTTGGCATGGCCAATCCACTTAGCCTGGACATCTTTGGACTGTGGGAGGAAACCCACACAGACACAGGGAGAATGTGAAAACTCCACACAGACAGTCACATGAGGGTGGAATCGAACCCAGGTCCCTGGCGCTGTGAGGCAGCAGTGCTAACCACTGTGCCACCGTGCTATTACCCTCATGGGTATTAATCGTAGCATACTTCTGGGAATCTTCATCTAACCACAATTGCAAGTATGCATAACTCAGGTCCAGCTTCGTGAAGGACAGCCCCCTGCCACCTATGCATATAAATCTTCTATGCAAGAGATTGGGTATTTATTCAGCTACAAAAAGTAGTTTATCCTTTGTTTAAAATTCCTGCAAAGGCAAACTGACCAGTCAGACTTCACAATTTGTATGACCAGTGCTGCCCATTCTGCAAAATGGACTGGTTTGATAATTCTTTCACTTTTGAGCCTTCTGATTTCTGCCTCTACTTTTGCCTGTAAGGCAAATCACACTGGGTGGGCTCGAAAAATTGTGGAAATGTTTCCTGGTCAACATACAAGGTGGCCTTGGCACGTTTGATAGTCGCTAGACTTTCCTGAAAAACTTCTGGGTATTTAATTAGGACTTCACTCAGGAAGCCATTTTCTAATCGAAAAATGTTGAGCCAATCTAGGTGAATCTTTCTCACCCAATTTCACCACATCAAGCTTCAGCCCGAGCCTTTTACTATAATCAGCGGTAACTGAACCATCTGCTTCTTATGAGAGACCAGAGCCAAAGTTGTACTCTTAATCTGTAAAGGCTCCCCAGTATAGGTTCTTTGTCTAGCTTTGTTCAAACTTAAGGGTTGGAGTCCAGATCGACTTTTGTTCAAGACTGGTTCTGTGATCACCGAAAGGGCCACACCAGTATTGACCTCCACGAGAACCAGCCTACGAGTTCTCTTACTCAATTTAGGTCTAATTGGACTCTTTGCTGTCATGAATCTGCATACCAGCAGCAACTACAATGGCTTGCCAGCCCGGATCCTGAAAAAAAATTTTAATTGTTTGGCCGAAGCTTGGCATTGTTTTGGAATTTTGCTGTGGACTGACCTAGAGTCCCTCTGTTCAGGATATGTCCTGAGTGAGGCTATGCAATTGCCTTCACTCAAGTAGTGTTCCCCAAGCTCAGTCAGACTGGTGATGATATCCACTTCCATCGGAATAATCTGCAACTCATACACTCCACTTGTTGCATTTTCTAATGATTAAGCCTGTTGTAGTACATATTTGACGTCCAATTGGGCTTCAAATAGTAGGCGCTTTTGCATGGTTACATCATTAATTCCAAATGGTGTCTCAGCATCTCATTAAGGGTTAAACCAAAGTCACACGCCTCTGCCAGTTGTCTTAACTTCGTTAAAAATCCCAATACAGATTCTCCTGGTTCATGAATTGCCGAGTAAAACCAATAGTGTCTTAGAATTAGAGGCAGCTTGGGGTCGTAATATTCCTTAACTAAATCCATCAACTCTTGAAAGTTTTTAGTATCTGGTGCCTCAGGGAAATAATTGAATAATTGAAACGGTTGCGGGTCTACAAACTGTCAGGAGAATTATTTGTTGTTTTTCATCTGCACCTATGTCATTTGCCTGGAAAAAAATAATGCATTCTTTCTGTGTACTGGGCCCAGTTTTCGACGGCAGGATTAAAGGAGTCAAGCTTCCTCAATAATGGCATGATTCCAGAAATGCTTACCTAACTCAAAGATGACTGTTGCAAACAAATTTCTTCAGGCGCGCGCTTTTCTTTCGTCACCACTGAAATAACTCCACAGAGGCTGGTATCCCATCACCAAGTCACCCTTTATTTACACACGGAGAGGCCTTAATACTGATCCAGATCCCTCAGAGCAGCTCTCAGTGTGAGCAGGATGTCTAACACTCCTGTTCTTACTGGATTTACAGCCCTAATCAGGGAACTCTGATTCTGTAAGCCTAACCAGGGAACTCTGATTCTGTGAGGTCCACCTGGCTGACCTCATTACACTGAACAAACTCCTTTTTCTCAGAGAAATTATTCTTGTATCTAACTTCTGTCTAAATTTTGTTTTAAAAATTGCTCACCCTAGCTTCTAAATGGCTTAACATTTCCTCTCCTGTTCTAAACCCCACAATATAAACAAGATTTGCATTAACACTCGAGGAGGGCTTCAGTCATCTGCTCTCTGAATTATGGCTCCCAAAAGACTGGCCTAGTTAATTATTAAACATCTTCACACAAATGGATCAAACTCATCATGCCACTAGTTTAAATTTGAAAAAGTGGCATTAATATACAGATATAAATCACACATCTCTCATCACAACAATATTCTGGGATCAAGAATTCCAGAAGTTCACAACTCCAAATGAGATTCATAAGAGTTTTATATATTTTCATTGATCTTCTCATTCTTCTAAACTTCGGGGAATAGAATCCTAGTCTAAATAAAAACCAAAAGAACTGCGGATGCTGTAAATCAGGAACAAAAACAAATTTGCTGGAAAAGCTCAGCAGGTCTGGCAGCATCTGTGGAGGAGAAACCAGAGTTAATGTTTTGGGTCCAGTGACCCTTCCTCAGAACTGATGGTGGCTGGGAAAACATCAGTTTATATGCAGAAAATAGGGAGGTGGGTGGGGTGTAGGGAGTAAACGATAGGATAGAGCCCAAAGAGAGAGAAAGACAGTTGGACAGACAGAGGAGTTGCTAACGATCAGGCTGGGGGGGTGAATAGTTGTTAATGGGGACTGTGTTGCACCTTCGCCAATTACAGGGGAAGGTGCCACAGGGCTGTGGGGAGGTGTTGGGGATGAAGGAAGTGTGGATCAGGGTGTCCCGGAGGGAACGGTCCCTGCGGAAGGCGGACAAGGGAGGGGAGGGGAATATGTGTCTGAATATGTGTGCAACACCTGCCCATTTACCTCCTCCCTCCCCAGAATCCAAGGGCCCAAACATACCTTCCAGGTGAAGCAACACTTCACCTGCACTTCCAAGAATCTACTCTACTATATTCGCTGCTCACAATGTGGTCTCCTCTACATTGGGGAAATGAAGCATAGACTTGGTGACTGCTTCGCAGAATATCTACGTTCTGCTCGCAGAAAAGACCCTGAACTACCTGTTTCCTGCCACTTCAATGCACCACCTTGCTCCCTGGCCAACATCTGTGTCTCTGGCTTGCTACAGTGCTCCAGTGAAGCCCAGCGCAAGCTGGAGGAACAACACCTCATTTTCCGCTTGGGGATCCTACAGCCCTCCGGACTCAATATTGAGTTCAATAATTTTAGGGCCTAAACTCTCCCATGTCCCAGCCCCCCACCCCACACACCAGGCCTTGTTACCACATAGCCTGCCACTACACACCCGCTGTTGTTAGTCACTAACAGTCCCCATTAACAACTATTCACCCTCCCAGCCTGATCGTTAGCAACTCCTCTGTCTGTCCAACTGTCTTTCTCTCTCTTTGGGCTCTATCCTATCGTTTACTCCCTACCCCACCCACCTACCTATTTTCTGCACATAAAGTGACTTTTTCCCAGCCACCATCAGTTCTGAGGAAGGGTCACCAGACCCGAAACGTTAACTGTTTTCTCCTCCACGAATCCTAGTCTACTTGATTTCCTATCTTGTATAATCTTTCCATTCAAGAATGAGTCTGGTGAAATGTCATTGTACATGCTCCTTCCTTATGTAAAAAGCCAGAGCTCTGCACAATACTTTAATTGTGGTCTCATCACAATAATCTTCACTCATACACAAATTCCTTTGTAATCAAGGCTAACTTACAACAATTCATTATAAAGCAAGTTATATCCAAAATACTATCTTTGTGAAATGCATACAAGGATACTGAATATCAACAATTATCAATATCTTACTTTTTCAAAAAATTCTGTTTTTCTATTTTACCTATTAATGTGAAAAACTTCATGCCTTACATTCCATCTGTCATGTATTTAACCATTCACATAATTAGTCTATATCCCTTCGCAATTTCTTTGCATCTACCTCACAATTTATTTTCTTCCCAATAAATTTGGAATATTACCCTCAATCTTCCTGTACTAAGCATGGATAATAAATAGTTTAAACAGTATAGATCAAGCACTGACCCTTGCAAGACGCACTAGTTATAGTGTCTCAACCTGAAAATTACTCATTCTTCTTCTCAGCTATTGTTAAGCTATCCTCAATGTTAATACATACAAATATATATATTATACATAAATATGTATACATGTCTTGCAAATCAAAATACACCAGACACTAGTTCTTCTTTATCTACTCTGCTTGTTACTATCTCAAAAAAGTAAATACCCATTCATAAATTAATATTGACCACACCTAATCATCTATGTTCTATTAATGCATATCTAATAATACATGATGGCTTTTTCTCACTCCTAATAGTTGGGCTAACTAGTTGACAACAACTCATTCCTCTCTCTCCTTTCATGAATAATGGGGTTACATTGTTTGCCTTCCAATTTGGGAACTGTTCCTGAATTTAGGAAATTATGGTGCTTGAATCTAATGAAGACAATGTTTCCCAAGAAACTAACAAACAGATTAAATTAGACAATGCCATCAAATGTGCTGTTGAGAAATTGAGTTGTTGGATGATAGATTAGTATACACTGACAAAATTAACACTTGTTTCAGCAGCCATAGAAAGCTATGAGAAAGTAAATGTAGGAGGCTTAAGAATTGTTTGATAGCCCATCAGAAACTCGAGGCAATAAAGACAGAGATGATTCAACACTTTACCAGAACTTTTATAAACAGTGAAATATTAGCTGGGAAACTACCCACCCTAAATATTCAGTCTCCGCCTTTACTTGATGGCTGCTGGCAATATAAAATCTCACTAACTCCAGTTTCTCTGACTGTCAAGGACAACAGTGTCCGCCTTTGAAATACCTTGCCTTCGAAGTGGTCGTTCCTGCTTCTTGGCCTGTTCCTCTGCACTGGTGAGGGTATCCTGCAACTGCTGCAGCTTTTCTTGATGTTGAAGATGTGCAATCCGGAGCTGTGAACGGAGGTCCTGCACCTCTGATAACAAACTGTTTCTGTCCACAGATAAGAGGTCTTCTAGCACAGACAGTTGCTGCTTTTCCTAAATAGTTATAAAAGTTAAGAGACATAAATACATTTCTAAAATTACCTGCATTCTTTGAATTGGGCTGATCCTTTGTGTAGATAGGGAGGGGATCACAAAATTGTTACGATGCAGAGAACAGCCATTCGGCCCATCATGCCAATATTGGTTCTTCAAACGAACATCATTACTTTCCTGCCTTTCCCTGTACCCTTGCACATTATTTTTAAACAAATAGTCATCTAACACTCTCTTGAATGACTCAATTGAATGTATCTCCACCACACTTCCAGGCGTTGAATTCTGCATCTTAACTGTACAATCAGTGGAAAAGTTTTTCACCCTTGGTTCTTTTGCAGATCACTTTAAATTTATGCACTCTTGTTCTTGTTCCTTTTACAAGCAGGAGCAGTTTTTTTTCTTAATCTACTGTATTCAGCCCACTCATGATTTTGAAAGCCTCTACTGGATCTCCTCTGAGCTTAAGATCATGGATTGTTAGTGGCACCTGAAACTTTTAGCAACTTTCAGTAATTTTTTCGGGTCAGTAAAATAAAGCAAGTATCAGAGCATGAGGGAAAACTAGCAAGAAATAGAAGAATAGCCAGTAAAATCTTCTTCAAATATATAAAAAGGAAAAGAGTAGTTCAAGTGAGCATTAGTCCTTTAGAGGGTAGACAAGGGAGTTAATAATTAGAAACTAGAATAATAGCAGAGACTTTGAACAAGGGTTTTTTTTTTATTTGTCTTCTCAGTAGGAAGCAGAAAAAAACACCAAAGAATAATAGAAAAGCAACAGGTAAAAGGAGGGAAGAACTTAAAACAATCACCATCACGAGAGAAAAAACAGTAGTAAAATTAATAGGACTCGAAGCTGACAAATCTCCTTGGTCTGGCATCCTAGGATTGTGAAAGGAAGTAGCTATAGAGATATTAGATGCATTGGTTGTAATCTTCCAAAAATCTCCTCAATTGTGGAAAGATTCTAGTGTACTTGATACCCAAATGTAATACCACTATTCAAGAAAGGAGGGAGACAAAAAGCAGGAAACTATTGATGAGTCAGTTTAATATTTGTCAATGTGAAAATGCTAGAATCCACTATTAAATAGATAGTAGCGAGGCATTTAGAAAATTACAAACAGGTGAGTCAACAGGGTTGACTATATTTATTATAGTTCTTTGAGGATGTAACAAGCAAGATGGATAAACCAGTAGATATAATGCATTTGGATTTTCAAAAAGTCACAACAAGCTAAGAGCTCTTGGTGTTTGGAGCATATAAAGTGTGGATAGACGATTGGCTAACTAACAGGAAACAGAATCCAGACTAATATGTCATTTTCAGGTTAGCAATGTGTACCTTGTGTAGCACTACAGGTCCTCAACAGTTTATAATCTTGCATTAATAATTTAGATGAAGGGACTGACTGAATTGCATCAGCAAATTAGTTGGAAAATGAATCGACCAGAGTCTGCAAATGGATATAAGCAGGTTAAGTGAATGGGTTAAAATTGGTAGGCAGAATATAATGTGAAGTTGCCCACTTTGGCAAGTAGAATCAAACAACACAATATTATTTGAGTGGAGGAAGACTGATAAGGTTGCATACAAAGGGATCTGGATGTCACTGTAAATTAATCACAAAAAGTTAACACACAGCCAGTAATTAGAAAGGTAAATGGAATACTATCCATAGGCCTAGTGGTATTATCGCTGGACTATTAATCCAGAGACCCAGATAATGTTCTGGGAATCTGGGTTCAAATCCTGCCACAGCAGACGGTGGAATTGGAATGCAATTAAACAAAAATCTGGAATTAAGAATCCAATGATGACCATGAATCCATTGCTGGTTGTCAAAAAACCTATCTGGTTCAATACTGTCCCTTAGGGAAGGAAACTGCCATCCTTACCTGGTCTGGCCTATATGTGATTCCAGACCTACAGCAATGTGGTTGACTTTTAACAATTAGGGATGGGCAATGAATGCTGCCAGGCCATTGATGCCCTCATCTCATTAATGAACAAAAAATAACACCCCATCCCAAGGGAGGGTGGAAATTGATCTTTTTGAAACAGAAAATATTTTGAGAGGGTTTGACAAAGTAGATGCTCAGAGGACGTGGCATCTCATGGGAGAATCTAGAATGAGGGGGCACAGTTTAAAAACAAGGGGTGATGTCGCCATTTAGGACAGAATCATCACAGAATCCCTACAGTGTGGAAACAGGCCCTTCAGCCCAACAAGTCCACACAGACCCTCAGAGCATCCCACCCAGACCCATCCCCAAAATCAACACATCCCTGAACACTGTGGGCAATTTAGCATGGCCAATCCACTTAGCCTGCACATCTTTGAACTGTGGGAGGAAACTGGAGCACCTGGAGGAAACCCACGCAGATGCAGGGAGTATGTGCAAACTCCACACAGACGGTTGCCCGAGGGTTGAATTGAACCCAGGTCCCTGGCGCTATGAGGCAGCGGTGCTTACCAGGAGGAGCACTGACTCTCATACAGTCACCAATCTTGGGAATTCTTCTCTCCAAATAGCAGTGGTAGCTGAGTCTCTGACTACATTCAAGATTGAATCAGACAGATTTTGATCTACATGGGAATCAAATGTTTGGAAGTCAAACAGGAAAGTGGAGTTAAGGCCAAAACCGTCCTGAATGATGGAGCAAGCAAAAGGATAAATTGAATGTCCAATTATTTTTCCTTTTTCAATCATTAAGTCCCATTATTTCCTCACAGCCTGTTTACGTACAAGACATTTTGGCATTTGTACTTGATCTGGCCTACATGTGACTCCAGAAAAATGACGATGTAGTTGACTCTCATCTGCCCTCTGAACTGGCCTAGCAAGCCACTCAACTGTAATGATCCCTACAAAGTCTCAAAAAAATGAAACCAGACGGGGCACCTAGGCACCAGAAATGGCAACAGCTAAAACAATCCTATTGACTTCTAAAGTCCTCCTTAATAACATCCAGGTCTAATGTCAAATTAGGAGAGCTATCTCACAGACTTGTCAAACGACCACCTCACATAGTCATACTCATTGAACTGTAACTTATAATTCTCCAGACACCACCATCACCATGCCCTGGATATGTCAACAGAGGTGGCAGTACAGAGGTGGCAGTACAGTGGTACATAGTCAGGAAGGTGTTCCCTGGGAATCCTCAATATTGACTCTAGACACCATGAAGTCTCATGGGATCTGGTCAAACAGTGGCAAGAAAATGTCCTGATTACTACATACCATCCTTCCTGGTGACTCTGTGCTCCTCTATGTTAAACAACACTGGGAGGAAGCACTGAGGGTGGTAAACGTGTGAAATTTACACTGGGTGGGGGATGTCAACGTCCACCACTACTGAAGGAAATGGTCGAAACCTAAAAGACATTATGTCTAGACTGGCTCTGTGGGACAGCGAGGGAAACAAACAAGAGTGCAGCATATGTTTGACATTATCCTCATGGATCTGCCTGCCACAAATGCATTAGTCCATGACAGTATCGATAAGAATGACCACTATGCAGTCCTTTTGGTGACCAAGTCCCACCTTCACACAGACAATGCCCTTCATTGTGTTGCGTGGCACGATCTCTGTGATAAATGGGACAGACTTTGAACAGATCTAGCAATCAAGACTGGACATCAGCAGCAGAATCATACTCCAATGCAATCTGCAAACTCATGGCCTCGTAGACCCCCCAACTCTAGCATTACCATCAAACCAGGGGATTAACCTCAGTTCACTGAAAAACACAGGTCGCCATGCCAGGAGGCATACCGAAAAATGAGGTGTCAACCTGGTGAAGCTACCAAACTGGACATTTTGCATGCCAAACAGTATAAGTAGCAACTGACAGACAGAGCTAAACAATCCCGCACCAATGGACTAAGTACTGCAGTCCTGCCACATCCAGTTGTGAATGAGAGTGGACAATTAAACAACTTACTGGAGGAAGAGGCTCCACAAATATCCCCATTCTCAATGATCGGAAACCCAGCACAGCAGTGCAAACGATAAGGCTGACACATTCTTAACAATCTTCAGCCAGAAGTGCTGAGAGACTGATCAGTCTTGGTCTCCACTAGAAGTCCCCACCTTCACATATGACAGTCTTCAGTTAATTCAATTTATTCCACGTGATATCAAGAAATGGTTGCAGGCACCAGATACTGCAAAGGCTATGGGCCCTGGCAATATTCAGTAATAGTACTGAAGAGTTGTGCTCTAGAAACTTGCTACTCCCCGAGTCAATCTGTTTCAGTACAGCTATAACACTGGTATCGACCTAGCAATGTGGGAAAATTATTCAAGTATATCCTGTACGCCAAAAGCTGGCCAAATTCAACACAGTCAATTACCACCCCATCAGTCTACACTTGACCATGGGTAAAGTCATGGAAGATGTTAGCAACAGCTGCTTATTTATAACCTGCTCAATGAAGACCAGTTTGGGTTCATCAGGGCTACACAGCTCCTGACCTCATTACAGCCTTAGTTCAAACATGGACAAAACAGCTGAATTCCAGAGGTGAGGTGAGTGTGACTGCCCTTTATGTCAAAGCTACATTTGACTGAGTTTGGCATCAAGGAGCCTGAGCAAAACTGGAATCAATGGGAATTAGGGGGAAAACACATTGCTGATTTGAGTCATACCCAGCATGTAGGAAGATGGCTGTGACTGTGGGATGTCAGTCATCTTAGTTAGACATAGAACAGTACAGCACAGTACAGACCCTTCGGCCCATGATGTTGTGCCGACCTATTAACCTACTCTAAGATCAAACCTGTGCCTATCCAAGAGTTGCTTAAATGTCCCTAATGTGTCTGACTCCACTACTACCACTGGGAGCACATTCCACGCACCCATCACTGTCTGAAGAACCCACCTTTGACATCTACCCTATCCCTTCTTCCAAACACCTCAAAATTACGCCCCCTCATAATAGTCATTTCCGCCCTGGGAAAAAGTCTCTGGATATCCACTTGATCTATG